GCGTGGATTTTATATTTTTATTTTTAATTTTTTTTTCAAGGACTACCAGAGGCTTGAATTTTTTAAATAATTTTTTTCAAGGACTACCAGAGGCGTGGATTTTTAAAAAAATATTTTTTCAAAGTCTACCAGAGGCGTGGATTTTTAAAATATTTTTTTTCAAGGACTACCAAAGGCGTGGATTTTTCAAATATTTTTTTTCAAGGACTACCAAAGGCGTGGATTTTTATAATATTTTTTTCAAGGACTACCAAAGGCGTGGATTTTTAAAATAATTTTTTTCAAGGACTATCAAAGGCGTGGATTTTTAAAATAATTTTTTTCAAGGACTACCAGAGGCGTGGATTTTTAAAATAATTTTTTTCAAGGACTACCAGAGGCGTGGATTTTTTAAATAATTTTTTTTCAAGGACTACCAAAGGCGTGGATTTTTAAAATAATTTTTTTCAAGGACTACCAGAGGCGTGGATTTTTAAAACAATTTTTTTCAAGGACAACTCAAGGCGTGGATTTTTAAAATAATTTTTTTCAAGGACAACTCAAGGCGTGGATTTTTAAAATAATTTTTTTCAAGGACAACTCAAGGCGTGGATTTTTAAAATAATTTTTTTCAAGGACAACTCAAGGCGTGGATTTTTAAAATAATTTTTTTCAAGGACAACTCAAGGCGTGGATTTTTAAAATAATTTTTTTCAAGGACAACTCAAGGCGTGGATTTTTAAAATAATTTTTTTCAAAGACAACTCAAGGCGTGGATTTTTAAAATAATTTTTTTCAAGGACAACTCAAGGCGTGGATTTTTAAAATAATTTTTTTCAAGGACAACTCAAGGCGTGGATTTTTAAAATAATTTTTTTCAAGGACAACTCAAGGCGTGGATTTTTAAAATAATTTTTTTCAAGGACAACTCAAGGCATGGATTTTTAAAATAATTTTTTTCAAGGACAACTCAAGGCGTGGATTTTTAAAATAATTTTTTTCAAGGACAACTCAAGGCGTGGATTTTTAAAATAATTTTTTTCAAGGACAACTCAAGGCGTGGATTTTTAAAATAAATTTTTTCAAGGACAACTCAAGGCGTGGATTTTTAAAATAATTTTTTTCAAGGACAACTCAAGGCGTGGATTTTTAAAATAATTTTTTTCAAGGACAACTCAAGGCGTGGATTTTTATAATAATTTTTTTCAAGGACAACTCAAGGCGTGGATTTTTAAAATAATTTTTTTCAAGGACAACTCAAGGCGTGGATTTTTAAAATAATTTTTTTCAAGGACAACTCAAGGCGTGGATTTTTAAAATAATTTTTTTCAAGGACAACTCAAGGCGTGGATTTTTAAAATAATTTTTTTCAAGGACAACTCAAGGCGTGGATTTTTAAAATAATTTTTTTCAAGGACAACTCAAGACGTGGATTTTTAAAATAATTTTTTTCAAGGACAACTCAAGGCGTGGATTTTTAAAATAATTTTTTTCAAGGACAACTCAAGGCATGGATTTTTAAAATAATTTTTTTCAAGGACAACTCAAGGCGTGGATTTTTAAAATAATTTTTTTCAAGGACAACTCAAGGCGTGGATTTTTAAAATAATTTTTTTCAAGGACAACTCAAGGCGTGGATTTTTAAAATAATTTTTTTCAAGGACAACTCAAGGCGTGGATTTTTAAAATAATTTTTTTCAAGGACAACTCAAGGCGTGGATTTTTAAAATAATAATATAATAATAATTTTTTTTAATTTTTTTGTCCATCTGGACAAACAACAAAGCCAAATAAATTGGCCACATGTGCAAACAAAATCCGGAACGCATGCTACACAAAAAAAAGCAGCAACAACAGCAATCATAAACAAAAACAAGTCCTTGTTGAGTCCTTAAAGGTGATAACAACATTTTGAAGCAATTAAGTGGAGCACCTGTTTATGTTGAAGCTTCCTTTAGGGCCAGTTTTTTTCTTCCTCTTCCTTTTTTGCTAAACAAAATCATCTGATCCAATAAGAAGGGCCGACCTCCTGCAACAGAACAGGACAGGTTCATTGATGAACAGCAACAAAAGCTGATTTTTTTTTGCTAAGTGCCTGACAGTCTGTCTCCGGAAGATTAAGGCCGAACCAAAAATATCAAAAAATATCACATTACCGCATATGCAATGCTTCTTCTTCTACTTTTTCGTTAAGTGTTTGCCGCTTTGGCCCCAACGGCAACGGAAATCTATAAATATCGGTTTACATCGATGATGCCCCCGCCACCACCGTCATTTACACATGTTTAAGGATATGTTTTTTGGCGTTTCATGTTTGGCACGTGTCCAGATGTTCATATTTGGCTAAAGAAACATTTATTTATTGCAGGACGATTATTTATGTTTATCATTGCAGACGATGTTAATATTTGATTAATGATGCAAGCTGCGCGGAATCCTGTTAATAAGGACTATAATATTGTTATTGGCGAATACATTTTATTTTCGATTTTATTAAATATAGGCAATAAAATTGCGTTAGCCTCTAGTCCTTGAAAAATTTGTTTTTACAAGTAAGGAAAGTAGTAAAGTCGGGCAGGCCGACTATGTGATAACCTTCATCACTATTGGTATATTAATCACTAAGGAAAGAAGTAAAGTCAGACGGGGCCGACTATATGATATATGCCCTTCACCACTTTGGCTATATTCAACTGATGAATTCTAACAGACGTCGCATTTATAAAGGACCAGTAAAATGAAATTGGATCCATAAACATGTCATTCTGCAACAGATACTAAATTTTTCATTTGGTCAGATACGGAAGCTATATCTAAATCTGAACCGATTTTCACGAAACTTAACACACATCATTCTAGACCTAATTCAGTACACTATACCAAATTTCGTGCAAATCGAAAGATATATAGGGACTTTGGTGCACCATTGACCTTAAATCGGACGAAAATATATATGGGAGCTATATCTAAATCTGGACCGATTGGCAGGAAACTTAACTCACATCATTCTACACTTAATTCACTACGCTCTGCCAAATTTCGTGAAAATCGAATGATATATAGGGACATTGGTGCACCATTTACTGAAAATCGGACGAAAATATATATAGGAGCTATATTTAAATCTGAACCGATTCTCACGAAACTTAACACACATCATTCTAGACCTAATTCAGTACACTATACCAAATTTCGTGCAAATCGAAAGATATATAGGGATTTTGGTGCACCATTTACCTAAAATCGGACGAAACTATATGTGGGAGCTATATTTAAATCTGAACCGATTCTCACGAAACTTAACACACATCATTCTAGACCTAATTCAGTACACTATACCAAATTTCGTGCAAATCGAAAGATATATAGGGACTTTGGTGCACCATTTACCTTAAATCGGACGAAAATATATATGGGAGCTATATCTAAATCTGAACCGATTGTCAGGAAACTTAACTCACATCATTCTATACCTAATTCATTACGCTGTGCCAAATTTCGTGCAAATCGAAAGATATATAGGTACCTTCGTGCACCATTTACATTAAATCGGACGAAAATATATATGGGAGCTATATCTAAATCTGAACCGATTGTCAGGAAACTTAACACTTATAATTCTAGACCTAATTCATTACGCTGTGCCAAATTTCAATAAAATCGAAAGATATATAAGGACTTTGGTGCACCATTTACCTTAAATAGGACGAAAATATATATGGGAGCTATATTTAAATCTGAACCGATTTTTATGAAACTCAACATACATCATTCTATACCTAATTCATTACGCTATGCCAAATTTCGTGCAAATCGAAAGATATATAGGGACTTTGGTGCTCCATTTACCTAAAATCGGACGAAAAATATATATGGGAGCTATATCTAAATCTGAACCGATTTTCATGAAACTTTACACACTTCATTCTAAATCTGAACCGATTTTTATGAAACTCAACATACATCATTCTATACCTAATTCATTACGCTATGCCAAATTTCGTGCAAATCGAAAGATATATAGGGACTTTGGTGCACCACTTACCTTAAATCGGACGAAGATATACATGGGAGCTATATCTAAATCTGAACCGATTTTCACGAAACTTAGCACATATCATTGAAAAAGAAATTGGTTGCCCCGAAAAAATTAGAAATGTAATATTTATTTTTAATTAATATTTGATGTGAGGGTATACCCCCTCCCCCTCTCCGATAATTTATTTGTTTTTATGCAGCCTTATAAAATAGTTTATCACCAGGATACGTTTATCCGACCATTATGAACCAAATAGATAAAATTAAAAGCCACACCCGGACATCATTAAGTACTAGCCTGGAAGGACTTCGACTGAGTGATTTCATGGGGGGTGAAGAGACTATTGTCTCATGTCAATTAATTTTGACAAAATACGAAATGGGAAGACATTAAAATAGAAAACAAAGGGGGAGCAGGGGAGGGGGAATGGCATGGTGGTGGTCATAAATAAAGCAATGAAGGGGTGGTGGGTGACTACGAAGTGGATAGTGGGGGTATCGTCATCGATATGAGGGTTATTTGAGGGGTAAGCATGACTGTTATTGAACCAAGTGACTTGTCACGGTTCTTGTTCACAGACTTATTGATGACTAAGTTGGATTTTTATAGGAGGTAAAAAGGTTCCTCTTCAACTTGCTGTGAAAACTCGACCTGACGTAATTGATGTTGCGATTTGCAAGTGGAGCTAAGCACAGTTTCGGAATATTTAATTCCCTTGAAATTTATTAATTATTTTTTAATTCTTGATAAATAAATGCTGTGACCGAATCTCCTCAGAACAAAATCTTTCACCAAATGTTTTTTTATTAACGCTGCATCCAGACAAAAATGTTGTCATACAACTTCGAGGTTATTTTTAGGCCTCGAACTCATTGCCAGATACCATTAATTAAGAAAATTCTTAAAGAGCCCTAAATCGTTGTACCACAAAGAAAAAATAACAAAGAACCAATCATGACCCACATTCTTCGAAAGGGTATAAATGGTAATGCCCTCCGACAAACTGTTATCAGTATTGGATAAGCTGCTTCCTGACAAGTTCCCAAACATCTTTCCAAAAACTATGTTGACTCTGAAAATCGTTTTTCTATTGGCTGTGGTGGTGCCCAACATCTTGGCCGCTGGGATATGGTATCGAGCATATGACTCTCCTGAATCTTTGGAATCCCCTGAGACATTGGAAATATTTGATCGTTCGCTAGAAGATCTGCATCATATTCGAATCAATTATGGCCCGGTTTGGGATGATATTGCCGGAGAAAATGAATTTGTTGTCAAGGCAATTGGCAAGAAAGGTAAACCGATTTTCATTAAAACACCCCTAGTGTTAAAGAAACCCATTAATGTCAATAAACCCTCGACAATTCTGACAACAGTTTAGAATTTCAAAGCTAAAGAAATTTGAAAAAAATGTTTTATTTAAAAAAGGAGGGCCAAGGGGTTATCTAAAAAAAATATTTTTTTTTCAAAAATCCACAGGAAAGTGGATTTAAAAAAATATTTTTCCTAGGGGTGGATTTTTAAAAGAATTTTTTTCAAAGACTACCAAAGGCATGGATTTTTAAAAGATTTTTTTTCAAAGACTACCAAAGGCGTGGATTTTTAAAAGAATTTTTTTCAAAGACTACCAAAGACTTGGATTTTTAAAATAATTTTTTTCAATGACTACCAAAGGCGTGGATTTTTAAAATAATTTTTTTCAAAGACTACCAAAGGCGTGGATTTTTAAAATAATTTTTTTCAAAGACTACAAAAGGCGTGGATTATTAAAATAATTTTTTTCAAAGACTACCAAAGGCGTGGATTTTTAAAAGAATTTTTTTCAAGCCTTAGCATAAGCGTGGATTTTTAAAAGAATTTTTTTCAAGCCTTAACATAGGCGTGGATTTTTAAAAGAATTTTTTTCAAGCCTTAACATAGGCGTGGATTTTTAAAAGAATTTTTTTCAAGCCTTAACGTAGGCGTGGATTTTTAGAAGATTTTTTTCAAGCCTTAACATAGGCGTGGATTTTTAAAAGAATTTTTTTCAAGCCTTAACATAGGCGTGGATTTTTAAAAGCATTTTTTTCAAGCCTTAACATAGGCGTGGATTTTTAAAAGAATTTTTTTCAAGCCTTAACATAGGCGTGGATTTTTAAAAGAATTTTTTTCAAGCCTTAACAAAAGCGTGGATTTTTAAAAGAATTTTTTTCAAGCCTTAACATAGGCGTGGATTTTTAAAAGAATTTTTTTCAAGCCTTAACATAGGCGTGGATTTTTAAAAGTATTTTTTTCAAGCCTTAACATAGGCGTGGATTTTTAAAAGAATTTTTTTCAAGCCTTAACATAGGCGTGGATTTTTAAAAGAATTTTTTTCAAGCCCTAACATAGGCGTGGATTTTTAAAAGAATTTTTTTCAAGCCTTAACATAGGCGTGGATTTTTAAAAGAATTTTTTTCAAGCCCTAACATAGGCGTGGATTTTTAAAAGAATTTTTTTCAAAGACTACCAATGGCGTGGATTTTTAAAATAATTTTTTTCAAAGACTACCAAAGGCGTGGATTTTTAAAATAATTTTTTTCAAAGACTACCAAAGGCGTGGATTTTTAAAATAATTTTTTTCAAAGACTACCAAAGGCGTGGATTTTTAAAATAATTTTTTTCAAAGACTACCAAAGGCGTGGATTTTTAAAATAATTTTTTTCAAAGACTACCAAAGGCGTGGATTTTTAAAATAATTTTTTTCAAAGACTACCAAAGGCGTGGATTTTTAAAATAATTGTTTTCAAAGACTACCAAAGGCGTGGATTTTTAAATAATTTTTTTCAAAGACTACCAAAGGCGTGGATTTTTAAAATAATTTTTTTCAAAGACTACCAAAGGCGTGGATTTTTAAAATAATTTTTTTCAAAGACTACCAAAGGCGTGGATTTTTAAAATAATTTTTTTCAAAGACTACCAAAGGCGTGGATTTTTAAAATAATTTTTTTCAAAGACTACCAAAGGCGTGGATTTTTAAAATAATTTTTTTCAAAGACTACCAAAGGCGTGGATTTTTAAAATAATTTTTTTCAAAGACTACCAAAGGCGTGGATTTTTAAAATAATTTTTTTCAAAGACTACCAAAGGCGTGGATTTTTAAAATAATTTTTTTCAAAGACTACCAAAGGCGTGGATTTTTAAAATAATTTTTTTCAAAGACTACCAAAGGCGTGGATTTTTAAAATAATTTTTTTCAAAGACTACCAAAGGCGTGGATTTTTAAAATAATTTTTTTCAAAGACTACCAAAGGCGTGGATTTTTAAAATAATTTTTTTCAAAGACTACCAAAGGCGTGGATTTTTAAAATAATTTTTTTCAAAGACTACCAAAGGCGTGGATTTTTAAAATAATTTTTTTCAAAGACTACCAAAGGCGTGGATTTTTAAAATAATTTTTTTCAAAGACTACCAAAGGCGTGGATTTTTAAAATAATTTTTTTCAAAGACTACCAAAGGCGTGGATTTTTAAAATAATTTTTTTCAAAGACTACCAAAGGCGTGGATTTTTAAAAGAATTTAAAAATCCAAAGGCGTGGATTTTTAAAAGAATTTAAAAATCCAAAGGCGTGGATTTTTAAAAGAATTTAAAAATCCAAAGGCGTGGATTTTTAAAAGAATTTTTTTCTAAGACTACCAAAGGCGTGGATTTTTAAAAAAAAATTTTTCAAAGACTTCCAAAGTCGTGGATTTTTAAAATAATTTTTTTCATAATAATTTTTTACCAAAGGCGTGGATTTTTAAAAAAAAATTTTTCAAAGACTTCCAAAGTCGTGGATTTTTAAAAAAAAATTTTTCAAAGACTTCCAAAGTCGTGGATTTTTAAAATAATTTTTTTCATAATAATTTTTTACCAAAGGCGTGGATTTTTAAAATATTTTTTTTTCGAAGACTACCAAAGGCGTGGATTTTTAAAATATTTTTTTCAAAGACTACCAAAGGCGTGGATTTTTAAAATAATTTTTTTCAAAAACTACCAAAGGCGTGGATTTTTATAATAATTTTTTTCAAAGACTACCAAAGGCGTGAATTTTTAAAATATTTTTTTTCAAAGACTACCAAAGGCGTGGATTTTTAAAATAATTTTTTTCAAAAACTACCAAAGGCGTGGATTTTTAAAATAATTTTTTTCAAAGACTACCAAAGGCGTGGATTTTTAAAATAATTTTTTTCAAAGACTACTTAAAATAATATTTTCCCCCCTTTCAGGCAAATGCACCCCCGATTCCAGTAAAGGCCTGGCCAATCTCTTCAGTCAATCGAAGAAGTTGATACCCTGGGACAATGTCAAGGAAATCGTCAAATCCTATGCCAATGATCCTGAGGTGAAAACCCTAAAGGCCTACATTGAATCTGCAGACTATAAGGAAAAAGTAGCCGCCATACGCTCCTCCGAGGAATACAAAACTTTCAGTTCGTATGTCTGTCATGTCTTACATCTCGATCTGCAAGAGGATGGTCATTATGTGGCAAGAAATAGATTACGCAGCAGCTCGCAAACGGGTATAAGAGGTCTCATACGTAGAGTGCAATCGGTGATACCATATCGGCAGTTGGGTGATTTATATGCTCAACTCATCTCAAAGGATGATCAATTGCTGCGGGAGGTTGCTGCCATGAAATCGAAGGAGTTCAAGAGAATTGTTAGCAATTTAAGGAATTATGTACCAGCCTATAGGGAGCTTACAATGACTTTGTGGCATTTGGGTGTGCCTTTGGATCAGTTGAAGGGTGTCATCAGCAATGCCTTGGGCTGGAACATGGATTGGGATACATTGCCATAAAATGGGAGGAGTGAGGCAAAATTAGTGAATTTTGAGAGCCAATATTTTAAATTAATTTTAAAATTTAAATTTAAATAAAAACTTATTTCAAAAAATATTTTTTGAAGTACAAAAAAAAAATTTTGGATCTTTAAAAAAATCTTTTTAAGGGTCCTCAATAAAACGTAGATTTAAAAATTTTTTAAAGGGTCCTCCACAACGCATAGATTTTTTCACAAATATTTCTACAGGTCGTGAATTGTTTTAAGGTATTGACGACCCCCGCAAATGTATAAAGGACCACGATGTGCGAATCTGCACTTGGAATGTGCGCACGTTGTACAGAACAGGCGCAGTGTTCGCTTTGGCGCATGTACTCAAGAAGTACAAAGCCGATATTACTGCCTTACAGGAAATGCGATGGAAAGGGACTGTCGTAAGTAAATCAGATGATTACGCCCTGTATTATAGCTGCCATGAAACGCTGCGGATTTATGGTTAACAGGAGAATAAAAGACCTCGTCTGCAGATTCACTCCAGTGGATGAGCGAATTGCTATAATCCGTATAAAAGCGAAGTTCTTCTACATCAGTCTCATTTGCGCCCATGCTCCGACCGAAAATAAAGATGAGCAGACCAAAGACATATTTTATGAGCGCCTAGAAACAGCATATGATCGCTGCCCTGGCCATGACATTAAAATTCTGCTAGGAGATTTTAATGCAAAAATCTGAAGGGAAATATTTGGCCCCACCGTCGGTGAATTCAGCCTCAATGAAGAAACATCAGACAATGGCATGAGGTTGATTAACTTCGCGCAGCAAAAAACATGGTAGTTAGCAGCACCAGATTCAAGCATCTCGATATACACAAGACCACTTGGATTTCTCCCGATCGAACAACGAGAAATCAAATCGATCATGTTGTGATAGACGGAAGGCATTCATACAGTGTTTTAGACGTCCGATCGATCCGGGCAGCAAATATCGATTCGAAACACTACCTTGTGGCAGCCAAGGTACGCACTCGTCTTAATGTAGCAGCAATACGGAAACTAACACAATACGGAAACTTGACGTCGAAAAACTGCAAACACAACAGGTAGCCGAGGTCTACTCCGCTCAACTTACCCACCTGCTTGACGAAAGCATCCCTTGCCCCGATAATAATATTGAAACACAGTGACAGAGAATTGCCCACTCCCTACAAACTGCAGCAAAAGCAACACTTGGGTACCACAAACAACCACCAAGAAACCCATGGTACGATCAGGAGTCTAGTAATGCTACTGATGTGAAAAACGCAGCGTATAGGGCAACCCTGCAGACAGTAGCAACACGCAGTGCGATGGAGAATTATCAGGAGAAAAGGAGAGAGGAAAAACGTATTTTCAGAAACTGAAGAAGAAAGAACAAGAAAAACATGAGCGCGAGCAAATCGAGATGTACAGGAGTCAGAATGAAGTCCAAAAAGTCTACCAATGGGTAAAATACCAAACCGAAGGTTTTGGTGCAGGCACATCCTCCTGTAGAGATGAAGAAGGAAACCTGGTGACGGATACAGACAGCGTGCTGAGGATCTGGAAAGAGTATTTTGAAAAACTTCTGGTATTAAATAGTAGCGGTGAAGAGGATACCCCAGAACCAATAATAGATGACGGTATAGGGTGTTTACCACCTAGCCAAGATGAAGTCAGAATAGCAATCAATCGGCTGAAGAATAATAAAGCAGCAGGTGCCGATGGGTTACAAGCCGAACTATTCAAGACTGGTGGTCAGATGCTGGTAGGGAGCATGCACCATCCCATTAGTAAAATTTGGCTAGAAGAATTCATGCCCAATGATTGGAACCTAAGCATCCTGTGTCCCTTGCATAAAAAAGGAGCCAAGACGATGTGCCAACTATAGAGGAATAAGTCTCCTTCCCATCGCATATAAAGTGCTATCCAGTGTACTGTGTGAACGATTGAAGCCAACGGTCAATGACATTATTGGACCATACCAATGTGGCTTCAAACCTGGCAAATCCACCATTGACCAGATTTTCACTCTGTGCCAAAACACATCGACACATTCCACCTATTCGTCGACTATAATGCCGCATTCGACATCCCTATCCGTTCAGTGGTGTTTAAAGCCATGTCTACGTTCGGCATTCCTGTAAAATTAATACGGCTATGGAGGATAACTTTTAGTACAATTTGGCTAGAGGAACGCATGCCCAATGATTGGAACCTCAGCATCCTGTGTCCCGTGCAGAAAAAAGGAGATACGACGATATGTGCCAACTACAGAGGAATAAGTCTCCTTCCCATCGCATATAAAGTGCTATCCAGCGTACTGTGTGAACGACTGAAGCCAATGGTCAATGACATTATTGGACCATACCAATGTGGCTTCAGACCTGGCAAATCCACCATTGACCAGATTTTCACGCTGCACCGAATCCTGGAAAAAACCCACGAAAAACACATCAACACATTCCACCTATTCGTCGGCTATAAAGCCGCATTCGACAGCCCTATCCGTTCAGAGGTGTTTAAAGCCATGTCTACGTTTGGCATTCCTGTAAAATTAATACGGCTATGCAGGATAACATTAACTGGCACAAGATCAGCAGTTAAAGTCGGAAAGGACCTCTCGGAGACCTTTAATACCGAACGAGGATTCAGACAAGGTGATAGTTTGTCGTTTGACCTTTTTAACATCCTGCTGGAAAAGGTCATACGAGAGGCAAAAGTGAATAGAAATGACACACTGTACACCAAATTGGAAAAACTGCACAAAAGACCGACACGACTGGAAATCTTTTCTAAGCTCGGCTTATGGAACGAAGCCTGCTAAGTAAGTAAGGATTTTTTAAAAAATATTTTTAGAGGTCCTCCACAAATGACCTCCACAAGGCGTGGATTTTTTAAAAGGTATTTTTTATCAAACTTTTAAAACCTCCACAGATTTTGGTTCCACTTCCTCCCTGCCAATCCTCATAAAAGTGTCAAAATATTGTCATCACCAAAAACAACTTTTCCTTTTTCTAAAACCGTCAAAATATTTTGAAATTTTTAACAATAACAACAACTCTAGTGCCCTTCCGTCGTTTGTTGAAAAGTTACTCACCCTCCTCTCAACAAGGGGGTTGGAGAAAAACTTTATTTTGACAGTATTTTTAAATACCGTACAAAATACGAAATATCAGCGGAACTGT